AATCAGGTGGCAAACTCTGTATAAGAGAAGTATCCTTCCTCTTACTTGTTCTGCTGCTTTCTTGGTTTTACCTTTTTAGGCTCACTGCTTATTCCCTGCTATCTGATATATTTATATTATATTGTTTATATTCTTTGTTGTCACTTTTGTATTGTTGAAGATATATTTTATGTTTAAGTTTACCTTTTGTATATTTTAAATAGATATAAAGGTTGATAATTTATATACCTTGTCTCCTCTTAATCTCATTACCCAACAAAACCCTCCCAAGAATATGAGAGACCATTTAGAGATACAGAGAAGTAACTTACCCAGTCCGAGAGCTGCTCCAATTAGAAGACCTAAGGAAATAGGTATGTGCCAGTCATATTGTGGCAATCTCAGTACATAGTAAGCTTCAAGCGAGAGACAGTTGCCTTACCAAGAGAAGTCAAATTCAACACCTCCCAATGTTGTCATAAAAGAGTCATAAATTTTTTCCATAACATGATGCAGGTAAAAAGAAGCAGGGCTTTGATTGTGTGGATCCAGCTGCCATCCCCCCCCCCCCCCCCGCGAAGGATGCATCTGGTGTTAAGTGTTAATAATGGTGCTTTTCCCCCTTGCATTGCATGTGTGAATCCAGCCACTGTAACTACATTATACAAGGTTAACAAAATTCTTCATGACTAGAAAATTAGATCTTACCCATGTTGGTTCTGGTTTACCTGCAAGTAAATAGCAGAAACTCTGGTAAGAAAATGTATTTTACAGCTAACAACTTCTGGTCACTCATCCAATGCCTTGAAGTCCATTCAACCATTATCCCCAGAACCGAAGTTTCTAACCAATATTCTAGGGAACCTACACACCAAAGTTGAACAGATTTCCCCCAAGCTAGCTGAGAACTATTGATTTCGCACCCTATGTTCTGCGGTGGAAACTTTTCAGATGCAAATCAAGCTTCTGTAATGCTATGAAACTGCCTGGCTACTAAGCCATCGTTCCTCCTGTATGAAAAATCCTGTTATAAAGTTGGTATAAAAATCACATCATCAGTCTGGCAACCAGGCATTGTCTTAATGCCTCTAACCCTGGCTGGGAGCTGCAGAATTATTTTAAGGGAGGAAAAGAGATTTTAGCCAAATAAAAAGCACAGGAGGAATATCCCCAATGCTCCTCACAACCTCACCACATTTCCTTGCATCCCTCTTCTGAACCATTGGTCTCTGGAAAAGCATGCTAGAAAAAGCCTGAATGACAGGTCACCAGGATGGAGCACCTCTACTCTGGCAGCATGTCACTTGAGCAAACTGAAAGGTAGCTTCATTCAAATCTCACACACCTACTCATAGTTGCCCAGGCCTGACCCCCTTTGCGTTAAGGAAATCCATTGATGGTCATTTTTCCTCTTGGAAAATGACACTGGGTAGGAGGAAAAACTAAACCAAGGAAGTTTACCAATCTCCACCCTCAAATTGCCCTGCATAGAACCCTAAAAAAAGCCCAATTTGCACATCTTGATGCTGAGGCAGACTTAGAGCTTGGCCATCAGGACAGTAAAATATATACCAACATAGGCCATTCTACTCTGGTTCAGTACTTACGGTATCTTGGTAAATTCTGGTAGCACAAAAAGAAATGACGTTAAAACCCAAGCAGCCTGGTACTTTGTAGACCAGTAGAGAAACAAAACCAGCCTTTGGCCACCCTTATTCTTACTAATTCAAGCTGATACTCCTCCTAAAGGACCTCCTAGGGAGGCTGGAATTCATCAAAACCTACCTGAGATTTTGTGTACACTGAGCATCCATCCATGTGGCTTAAGAAGCTTTCTGAAGTGGGAATGGCTAATGACAGATAGCCAATAGCATCACAGATAGCTCTGCCTTAGTCTCATGTTCGTAGCTTTCGATTTCCCAAGTAAAACTTTAGTTTCAATTTCTCAAATCCTCTGTGTGAGAAGTCAATTGAAGTCTTCCCCACACAAGCAGAAAATCAAACCTTCCTGCTTATCCCACCCTGCCATTCAGTCTTTAAATTTATAATCAGGATGGGCTCACACAAAACATTAAAATGTGGCAGAAAGAGTTAACATTCCTTGAACCTAGCCGAAAGATCTGAGTCAAATAAACAACTGGCAGGAAGAGCTAATGTTCCTTGGACTTAGCCGAAATCTAAATCAAATAACAAAATATCTCTTCCCCAAAAAATATTTGCATAAACAGGCAAATACCTCAGCTCAACAAGATGCCTGATTACAGGAAACCACAGCTCAGTGGGGTTACTGGACTTCAGAGTGCTCCCTCCTGGAATTCCGGCTAAGTGCTTTTGGGGAAATCCTGACTGCGGCTGCCCATTCTTGTGCTCTCTGAAATGAACTTCATCTGTGTTTCGAGCAACTGTCTGTGCATTTTATTCCTGGCTCGGAAACGAACTTGGTGAGATTTCTTTCCAACACCTTCCAGCAGAGGAGAAGATTCAAGATAACACTGCCATACATCAGAAACGTCTCAGAAACTACCTACAGACTTACAACCACATGGCATCTCTGTAGCACGCAAACCAAAGCCCTCCAAAACATCTTAAGCAAACCAAAAGAC